CCCTTTCTCTTTTATGACTTCATCTAACAATGTTTCATCATTCTTAGAACTTTAGCTGGAATTCTGTTAGGACTACTTCAGATGAAAATACGACACTGTAGGTTTCAATTTCTAGCAAACCAAAAGGAATGCTAACTGGTAAGTGTATCTTTCTTGCAGCTTTAAGAACTTAAAATTTGAGATTTCTTGAGACATACAGAAATTCCTAAACTATTCCTATTTTTATTCATGTTTTTCACAATCTATTGAGAATCTGTCTAGTTAAATGGAGATTATCAGAAACTAAGTAGGGATCAGAGCCAAATGCATAACATATGGAATCCTTTTTACTACATAGCTGATAAGTATATATGGATGCATGTAATTATAGATGGGAGATACAATGGGATAAGATGGCCCTGTTATGATAAAAAAAACCCTCTAAATATGCTCATGTGAGCTTCACATCAGCAGGTACTAAAAATATTCTCCTGGAACAAAGCTGCACAAATGATCGCTATGGATGGGTGAATCTGTCAATCTTGCTTTCTCTGATATTCAGCATTTTAAAATCTCAACTATCTGCTCTCTTGAAGATGAAGAACTTGTCAAATGCTGATAAATTCTTTTTTTTTTTTTAAATCAACCTTATCTGTATTACCAAAATTCAACTGTTACAGATATTCTGTGCATGGAGAGGACCATCAGGTACCTGTCAGCCTGCCATGAAGTTTTAAGGATGACTTTTTGATCAAAAGAAGTGGTGGCAATGCAAATTCAGCATAGCTGAATATACAAGGATTCAAACCCAGACTGTGTTCGTATAGAACAATATCTATACTCAAGTGCTAAGCATGAGTTGACCATGAGTAGTTGTTGCTGCCACAATACCAACTGATTGTTAACTGCAAGGAACTCCTGAACAGAAAGGAGCAGCTGGGTTCAGACAACACAATAACACATACTTGAACAACAATCCACAGTTCAATTCAATCCTTCAGTGTGGGTTATCAAGTTGTCTGAACTCAGCCCCAGACTTTTTTGGGTGCTTAAGTCTGGTTGAACAAATCTCTCAGTATCAGTTTCTCCCACAGCCATTAAAAAAATCTAAACCCCCTTTGTTCTGAATATAGATAACTTTTGGTAAATTATTTTCCGAAGTGAGCTGAGCCAGTTACACAATCCTCTCATTCTGTTCCATTGAGTTCACGTTCATATGTGAGTGTACACTCCTGGAAACTAGAAACTTGGGAGTCTTGTAGGGAAAAAGAGGAGGAGCTCCTAAAAGTTCTGCATTTCCCAGTCACTTTTTGGAGGTTGTTTTGTATCAAGATCATCACTTTTGTTTGGAAACTCTCCATCTGAACAGGACCGGATCTTGGGGTAGGCTTGGGGAGTTTCATAGTGTGCATTACAGTAAAGGGCGTTGTGAATGAATTCTAGGTTCCTTGGATTTATCCCTAATGGTGTCTGTTGGCAAACATCAGGACATCTAATCTTCCCTTTATACTCTTAAAGAGACCCAGTAGGCTCAGAAAAGAACCACAGCTTTTGTCAAGAGCAGGGTGAACAATTATCAAATACTTTCTTGTTCAAAAAGCCTTATGAAAACATGATCTAAACTCAGATGCTGGTGACTTTCCATCTGTCACATGGAACTGTAAAGAAGGATTAGAAATAAAACTAATTTGCAGGAATTAAAATGAATCTAATTCATGCCTTGCAATGAATTTTAAATGTGAACAGGAAATGTTAGTTCCAACTTTAGTAGAAAGAACAACACTGACATTACAGAGGGTATTGTACAAAATATATTTAAAGTATGGGTTAGGTGAGGGCGAGTTCCTTTAGGCTTTCTTTTCCCCCTATTTTTTTTTTTTTTGCATGTGCTCCTTGAATGACACACATCTCTGGCAATCATTCCATATCTTTTATAGTGCTCTGGTTATTTCTAGTGATGATTTAGGGCAGACAAATGTGTTGCCAAAATCCAAAGGCTAAGTTAGCATTCCTTCGTTAGATGTGTGTTGCATGCCCAGAGCACCTGAGGCAGTTATGCATCTGTGCCAATTTATTCTTCCATGCCTTCCAAAATGTTTTTTTTAGCATGTTACACTTCCCTCTTCTCCCAGTTCTGGTCACAGAAACTCTTGGTTGCAAGTCCTTAAGTCCTATAGCACAGGATAATGTTCTGTGTATAATGCTGAGAATTCCAAATGGATCCCTGGAAACTGAGTGGAACACTGAAGGACAGGCTGTATTGTTTCTTTTTTTTTTCATCCATGTGCAAAGTACCTAGTTTTTTTTCTACAAAAGCACATTTTGTCAATAGTGAAAACATCTATGGCCCGGAATTTCAGAACTCCCAAAGTGTACATGCCGATCTACATGTGTGTATGGGAAAGTATTTAAAATTCAGCCCACACATGACTTTTAAATATAGGATAATCACTGAGATAATTATCATTTTCAGTGGCCACTATTTCAGATTAATACAGGGTCATGCAGTGAGCAATAATATTTACTAGATCAAAGGGAACTACTCAGAACCAGAGTTCACCCAAGAGAAAAGTTCAGGGAGTAATATTTTGTATTTCAATGGCACTCTTGGATACTCCAGGTACTTCACACACATTAGCAGTCTTTGCACTAAGCAAAGTAGGGCAGTAATGCCAATCCCAAGCTTGCAGAAGGGGAGAGGAATAAGAGACTGCCTTAGTTGAGCCACTGAGGGTGCTGTCCAATGTGGTTGCCAATAACCCTCTGAACTTGGAACATTCTGGATGCTCAACAGAGGGTTGGAGAAGAGTGGAAACAAGGGTTGCCCCTCTGTTTCTTTTACCCTCCAAAACACTTAGCTGGTTGATTTTTACCATGCAAGTGTTTTACTCCTGCTCACAAGGAGGAAGGATTTCTACTGAGGAGTAAGACCCTACACACCAATTTTCAGGCACACAAAGCATGGCTCATTTCCAATGCAGATCTACTCAGAAGCAAACATCAAGCCTTTACTTCCCACTCCTCCTTATAGGACTGTTTTAGGACATAGAAATTGACAAGTACCAGCTATAGTTGTTTCCCTTGGTTCATTTTTATGGCCACCTTGGGTACAGTCCATGCCCAAGGAGCCTCACCCGGCCCAGTTCCAAGAATGCATGAATCAAGCCATATACTTCAAGGCAACAGGAAAATAACAACACAATCAAATGGCCACTATAGAGCATCTTGATAGCCACAGGGTGATCTGGAACCTCAGCTCCAGCTTCAGAAGTTTGCTCTCATATTGGAACTGGACTCTGAGTTTGTAGTATCCTCCTGCCGCAGCCAGCATGCAAACACGGCCTTGCCAATGTGGTTGAGTTGGCAGGGGGTGGGGAGAGACTGGATTGCCAGATCGCTTGGTGGCTCCTCAGCCTCCTTCCCTCACACTCAGGGGCCCCATGCTTAGACCCCATGCTTATACAGAAAAAAAAAAAAACCCCTATGTGTTTTGCAGGGTAGGAGGAGCAAGGAGATGACTCTGCATCTGTCTTTTTCTCACCCTGCATAGGTTAGCCATGATCCTGCAAGTTCAGAAGTTACAAGCTTCCCAGGGGAATAAAGCCATAAGGGTACAATCTTATGCATGTTTAAGTACTAAAAAGCCTACAAATTCCAGCATGCCCCAGAAATCTTTTGTTACGTCTGTGCTGTTAGAAGGAAGGCATTTTCTTCCAGTCTTATTGTTGTGTCCAGATCCTGGTCAAAAGCTTTTTGGTTAAACTTTTAATGCAAACTTCTAAGAGGGACAACACGGCAGTGATTTCTAATAATCACTAGTGTAAAGAAGAATTGCATACTGTGACAGCTTTTATTCTTCATTCCTTATCCCCCCTGCCCTTCATTCTAAGGATAGATAAATTTGATAAGTGCTAATGAAAATAAATTCTTCATTATCTCCATTTTCTACAACAGCAGTCTTCTTTTCCCCACAATCCTTCTAATCACGCAGTTCTTCTATAAAATTTGAACTCTTGCTTAGCTATGCTTGTGCTGAAAGAGTTTGCATTGTTTGCAAACATAGTTGACTCTGTGGTCCATTTGTTCAGTGTGATGGCTTTTTTGGCCCACCTTTGTGTACATCTTAGTACATCTCTGTTATGTTCATAATAAAGGTCTGACCCTAAAAATCAGAGCAATCTCTTTCACCCAGGCATTTTGCCATTAGTGCTAATGAAAGCAAGCACTTAAGTATGAAATAGTGGCCTTTTCTCTATGGTCAGCATAACTTTTGCCCAGATTATAATGGATCTCTGTAAAGTGACTGTAAAATGCTTGGCTGAGCAGTAAAGGCTGGCAATTTTAGCTGGAGATGCCATGACTTCAGGTCTGTACAGAGCAATCTGAAATTTTGCCTTCTCTGTTGGCAGATCTTGCTGTCAGGGTTCCTGGAATTCACATTCTGTCTTTCTAATAGTGTTCCTAGAATGTACTTTCATTTTCAAAATAATCCCAATGAATTAAATTTCTAGACTATGTAGATCCTCTATCTCTCACTCTCTCAGTGCATGTGTACATGATTGTGTGTGCAAGAGAGAGAGTGAGTCAACATTTCGAAGGAGATAGGCAGAATCTGCCTGGATACAGGTGCCTTGGATTTTGATTATAATTCTCTGTAGTTGGCAGTACAGCTTCTTATTTTGTGTATAAATTTAATGTGAAGATTCTGAGCATACCTTTCGAAGCACATACATTCCCTGTAATGTGACAAGCAGCAGCTTCTGGATGACTATCAGCAGATTCCACTCATACACATCTGTGTGAACTTCAGTGGCTCATAAAATCAGCTCTTTCAAAAAGTTGGTTTAACTAGATCAGTAAAAGAGATAGTTTTCAAATGTTTTGCAAGTAAGAGCCATGTTGAAGTAAGTTGAGTTTGGATAGATGGGATCAGGATTATGCATATTTGTATTTACCTAAATATCAGATTAACTTCTAGCGCATTTTGCCAGTTCCAAGACACTGAAGGACATTTCTGAACGATGTTGATTGAGGCCAATGGTCCCTTGCACAATCCAGATGTAAACTGTGGTTGGTTGCAGCCATAATTAGGTGGATAGTCTTGACATGAAGGTCTCATATGGAGAAAAGGACATCTTGGGAATTTACTGCAAAACTTGAGATTGGGTTTTATGTGTGCATGGGTCGGACTGGATCCCTTCCAGTGACAATGTATATCTCTAAGGAGCATTTGTGAGGTTAGGAAATTCACCACCTAGTTTTGCTTTCAGAAAGGATGGAAAGCTCTTCTTGTTTTCAGCAGGCATTTTCTATGTTCCCACCTCCTCCTCCACTGGACTTTGTAGTTTTTTCTGTTTTTGTTTTTATTTCTGCTTTGTTCGCTTGTGACTGCATTTTTTTTCTGGTGTAAATGCTGCACTTTTAAGAGAAAATTTTGCATAAACATTTTCAAGACATAAATAATTTTTGAAAATAACTTTCTAGGTCTTCAGAAGGTGAACTGTGATCGGTTGGATGCATTATTGAATATCAATGGACTTCAAAACAAGTGAGTTATCTAAACTAGTTTGTGTGTGGAGGTATTAAATAAAGCTTTATGAATGCATAGTTTGATCAGAAATGATTGTGAAAACACAGAATTTTCTAAGGGAACTTTTAAAGATTATATTTCTAGAACTACGTTCAGCTATAAATACTGTAGGATAAATATAATACTATATATCTTGATCCAAATAGAATTACGACAGAGGAAAGATTGGTTACAGCAATCTTTTATAATTTGCATGCAGGAATATAAATAAGTGCTAGATATCCCCACCATTGCATTTATGGAGTTGTATGCACTCTTTATGCCATTTCCCCATCCTTTCCTTCCCCTACAGTTTCCTAGTATGCTCTGAAACTGCTGCAGAGCTTTGCATGGAAAGCTGCACAGGGGAGGAAAAATCAATTCTGCATGTGTAGCCCTCCCACTATTGCAAAAATAGCACTGGATAAAATGCATGTTTTATAAATAGAAACAAATCTATTGAGCTCCTGGGACTGTCATGTGTTGCATTTGGCTTGGTGAATCACAATTTGCAACGGGATTCCATTAAACATGTTCTCTGTCCATGTAACATCCCAAGGGTTTAACTAGATGGCTCAACAGCAATCCATATTTGGATCACCCACCCCTTTGGTTTTCAGCAGATAGCAACAGAAGGTCCAACACAGATTAACTTCACGGTCGTTGCTGTTATGTGCCAGCAAGTCATCTCCAGCTTTTGACAACTCTATGAATGATTGCCCTCTAAAATGTCCTGTCCTTCACAGCCCTGATCAACTTTTGTAAGCTCAGGGCTGAGGTTTCCTTTATGGAATTGATCCATCTCATAAGTGCTCTTCCTGTTCTTCTACCTTCAACCTTCCCTAGCATTATTGTCTTCTCTACTGAGTCTTGCCTTCTAATGATGTGTGTAAATCACAACAGTTTTCTTCATTTTTGCTTCCACTGATGCTTTTTCTGTTGGTCCACGATATTCACAAAGCTTTTCACCAGCACCATATTCTGAATACATCAATTCTTCCTGTCAATTTTCTTTACAGTCTAGCTTGTACAAGTATACATAGTGATTGGTAATGCAAAAGTGTGGATAATGTTGGTACAAAGCTCACTGGAATCCATCCCTCTGCCATTTGCAGATTTCCTCTTGTGCTTAGCCCAGTCTTGCAAAGTAAGCTAAACCAAGAGAAAGTCTGAGTGCTCATGGAAAGAAGGCTGTGCAACTAGCAACATTATTTCACATCAGAAAGTCTGCTGCAGATGGTGCCGAAGAGGGACAATGCTTGTGCAGTGAGTGGGATTTGATTCCTGGTGAGTGCCTTGTGAAAGCTGGGCATCTCATAGGGAACTCAGACTCAGGGCTGCAACAAAAATGTACTGGAGTCCAGGGAGCTGAACGCAGCAGATCCATTGGATTCCCAGCCCCAGTAGAGATTCTTTCACATCACCAATATGGATGATCTTGGCATTGTTCTCCAGTGAAGTGTAGTTACACTTGATGATATTTTTAGTTCCTTCATTGTTGCCCCTCCAAGTCTCAAGGCTTTGTTTAATTTTCTGACTACAGTCTCCCTTTGAATTGATGGCTGAGTGAAGGTATGCATTTTTCACAATTCCAATTTATCGTCTCCTGTAAAGTTGTGCCATTTTTCCATAGTTGTTATTTTCTTCATGTTCAGTTATAGTCCTACTTTTGCATTTTCTTCTTTCCCTCTCCTCTGGAGTCATTTCAATTCACGGCTGCTTTCTGCCAGTAATATGCTATCATTTGCATGCTTTAACTTACTGATGTTTCTTCCACTAATTTTCATTTCTTCCTCTGACCCTTGCCTTATGCCTTTACATAAAGGAAACCAATCTATCTCTTCATATTCTGTCCTAATAGTTGCTTCTTGTTCATGATACAGGTTATGCATCAAGGACAATCAGGTCTTAAGGCACAACCATTTCTTCGGAGCCATTTATAGTTTCTCATGATCAACAAAGTCAATGCTTTGCTGTAGTCTAAAAGCATAGAATGGTTTTTTTCTGAAATTCTTTGGTGTACTGCAATAGCCAACATATGTTTGCCATATAGTGTTGAGTGCATCTTCCTTTCTGGAATTCTTCTTGAACATCAGTCATTTTTCACTTCATATGGTAAATGTCTTTGTTGCAATGCCTTGAGCATCACTTTGCTTGCATGGAAAATTAGTTTGATGATCCCGTAAGTTACTCATTTCTTTACATATCCTTCTTTGGGGGTTGGAGTATATTTGTTAGAATATTCTTATTAGGATTTGGGCTGATGCGGTCTCTGCAGCTTTGGATAGTTCTGTTGCATCCAGCTGTTTTATTCCTTCCAAGTGCTTTCAGAATAGCTTTCACTTCCCTTTCTTGGGGCAGGGCAAAAAATATAAAAGCCTTTCCCCCAGCTCATTAACCTTATGTAAAAGGTTGCTGCTGGACCCAATAGGTGACAATTGGGTCAACCTGTGGCCCCCCGGTTTCACTGGTCCTCTTATTCTTCATCATTGGTAATCTCTCTGGGTTAATGGTGCCAGAGGTTGCCCAATCCCACATTATGGGGAAGTCACTTATACAGCATGCTTAATTTCCCCCAAACAGCTCACAGAAATGTGCAGACCAAGCTCCATTAGGAAAATGGAACTGGAAGAGAGTTAAACCCCCTTACAACCACTACCATTTCCCCAATCTAAAGGAGAGTCTCCTGTGGCTGCCACCTGCTAAAATGTAAAGCTCTTGGATGTCTTCTCCAGTTTGGCCTGAAGTATGAGAGACACATTTCAGGGCATCTTCTAACATCTCTTTTAGCAAACATGAACATCAACACAGACTAGCATAAGTGTTTGAGATCGCTGATGGAAGGCCAAAATCTGCCAGATGCCAATCCAAACGCCTTAGAAGAAGGAACAAACCCAGTAAGCTACATCACTTTGCTAAAAGTGAGCACTAATATGATGGGCATGGGAGAATTTGAATGCTTTGTGATGAATAGGCTGTATAGATCACTGAGGAAGACAAGCAGGGATGGGAAAGTCTGAATATTTTCAGATTGATCTATCAAGGCAGCCAGAAGAAGGCTGATGCAATATATCTCTTTAGAAGGGACACCTCCTGTTGCCTTGTTCTGATATAGGTTCTCCCTCAGGCTGCAAGCACAGAGCTTGACAGTTTGCTTGAAATTTCTAAAGCCCAAAGGAGTTTGTTCTTCCTGAGCTCTTGCAGCAGGCAAGATGCAAATTAAAAAGTAATGTCAAGGGACTTTGATTAATAGAAGTATCTATCCTGTTGATGTTCCTATGCAAATGAGACTAGTTTTTGAATTAATCATTGCATTTTATTTCCTTACCTAAATATATTAATAGAAACTCTTTAGCACAGTGTTAGTGTACCAGCTCTGGTCAGTGTATACTGGGACTGAAATCTTGGCAGTTGATTGCCTGATTTTATTTCCTCTTCTCTCCTTTGCATGTGCACACATGGACACACAGATCAAGCCTCATGCCCAATTAGAAATGGGTCAGTTTGGTTTGGTTGTGGTGCTTCCCAGTGTAAAGCGGACTTCCCTCCAAAGTCACCAGAATTGAAGCCAGGACCAAACAGGATTTCATGGAATCATGGAACAATAGAAAGGGGGCCAAAGGGCCACTGGGTCCAACCCTCTGCTGTTGCAGGACACTTACACCATCCCATTCTGGTTACTGTCCTGATGCTTTTTGAATGTCTCCATCTATCACTGTGTTTTTGGAGAAATATTGAGTTCTGGTGAACATTCAGTAAAATTAGCAAGATCTTTTGTTTTCTTTCACTTGTTCAGTTTAGCAGCATGGGAGTAGAAACTGAAATGATAGGTTGCTCTTGCTCTATTTTATTTTATTTTTTGTGGGGAGACTGTTATACCAGGTAATGTTGGGGTGCAGTACACTTCAAAAGAAGGTACTTGCACAACTGATTGTCTCTAAAGGTTTGAGAAGTTTGTCTGGGGTTTAACATACGCTACCAGAGAGAACAAGCCCTTTGCATTTGCACACACATTGTGAAAAAATAATACAAGGTGTGAATATTTGGGATTCTGCTGAAGGTCATCACAACTCCAAACAGACCCCCAGTTTTGTGTCAGTTCATGCTTCATCTCTCTTATTCTGCAAGGGTTTTCTGGAACTGCTTTTCAGTGAAACGGATATAGGGTTTGTTGAGATATAGTAGCTTCTTTGCCTTTTCAACACCATCAGCCAGCTTTTGGGGGTCCTCTAAACAGCGGCTTCCCCTACTTGAAGAAGAGCTCTGATTCTGATCAGATGTTTTCACAAATAAATTTCCAATGGATTCATTCTAACAAGCAACTTGTCCTTTTGATTTGAATTGACCCTTTAATTAATCATTGTCTTAACAAAGAATTACTCATAGAATACATTTGTGTCCATGCCATTTTGAGATGGAAAACTTAAAATCACAACAAAGTAGAGTGGATAAAATTGTGAACTGAAGGATATGAGTTTCAATAAAGTATTAGTGGCATAACCTTTAAATTCAGGACATTTCAAAAATGCTTTTCTGCATAATTAAGGGCAATTTTCTTGAAGATAGCACATAATTAAAGAAGAAAATTCAATTGGGGTATATTTAGATGTTGGTGAAATTAGTTAAATGCTTATCAGACTGCACCTGCTCCCTTTTTGAATACAGAGGGTAGAGATTTTTATTTTTTCAGGAATTAAGACAAGTTAAAATATTAACTGTGATTGAAGTTATTGCCATGCTTAATGAACCCAAGAACCTGTACAAATAAATACTTAGCAAAGCAAAACCCTATACTTGAATATATTACTTCTGTTTATTTCTGAAGTTGTTATATTCCTGAAATATAATATGGCCAAATGTTCTTTCCGTTTTATTGTTAAGAGCCATGTAAGCCAAGTTCCTGATATGTTAATTATATATTTGTTCCCCCTTAAGTCCCATGTCTCTTTCCTCTGTTCATTTCCTTCCTTATTTAGCCACCCCCTTTTTATCCATCCTGTCCATCAGTGTTTTTCTTTGGGAACGCCTTGTTTGCCCTACACTATTCATACAAGATCACATATTTTTATTCCATATGTTTTTATTCCAAGTCCTGCCTTGACTTCTGTAAGGCGCTCTACGTGGGGCTACCCTTGAAGACGGTCCGGATACTTCAATTGGTTCAAAATAGAGCTGCCAGGCTGCTGACGGGGACTGGGCGTTATGTTCACAGGACTCCAGTCCTCCGTCAGCTTCACTGGCTTCCCATTGAAGTCCGGGCCCAATTCAAGGTGTTGGTGATGACCTATAAAGCCCTAAACGGCTTGGGTCCTGGTTACCTGAAGGGGCGCTTACATCCATATACGCCCACCCGCCCCTTGAGATCTGCAGGAGAGGCCCTTCTCCGGGAACCCTCCATGAAGGAAATTAGGAGGATAGGTACTCGGAGGAGGGCTTTCTCTGCAGTGCTGCCCAATCTATGGAATGCGCTCGTCGTTATTTGTTTTTCGGCGCCAGGCAAAGACCTTTTTATTCAAACATCATTTTAACTGTTAATACTATTTGTTTATTTTATTCTTAGGCCAGGGTGACTTATTTTATATTGTTAACTTGTTTTATATTTTTATTGTATAATGTTTTAATTTATATGTTTGTGAGCCGCCCTGAGGCTTTGGTGAATGGGGTGGCATAGAAGTTTTCTAAATAAATAAATAAAAAATAAATAAGTAATTCTTAACATGGGGCAGTATACAATTGTGCATAGCTCAGAACCTAATTTCTTCTAGCGTGTCATTTGAATGAATGAGCTGACACAGATGGATACTGTCATAGATTAAAACCAGCAGGTAAACCCTGAAAAGGATAAGAATAGGATACCTATTGTTTTCCCTTAACCCATTTGCTTATGATTATTAGAATCTTCTTGAGTTATGTAACTAGCCCTTCTCCAGACTCTGGCACTTCTTCTGTTGCCCATGAATTCTCAAAGATGATAGATGGTGGTTCTGAGAGTTCTTTCATTAGCTCTTCTATGACTCTGGGATAACGTTCATCAGGCCTTGGAGATCTGAACTTGTTTAGCCCAATTAGAAGATCCTTGGCCTGTCAACCCTGTCCCTTCGACTTGTCCTACACAAAGTTGGCTTTTTTGAAATCCAGGGTACACGTTTGGCTACATTTAGTTTTAGCTTCCATTATTACTGAAATTCATGTAAGGTGTGGTCACTTTCCCCCAGAGTTCCTGTAGCTGTTACTTTGTCCACTATATCTTCCCTGTAGTTTAGGTTCAGGTCAAGTAAGGCCATACCTCTTGTTCCTACTTCTGCTCTGCTGGAGAAAGTTATCAGTGATGCATGTTAGGAATCTCTTAAGAGGGGCCATGTTTGGCACCGTTTGACTCCCAACAGTTATCAGGGAAATTGAAGTCCCCCATAAAGACAACATCATGCCTCCTTGAAATACTGGCAATTTTTTCCCCAAAATTTTCATCTTTGTCTTCACCTTGATTGGATGGATGATAATAGACTCCAGCTACTATATGCTTCTTTTATTCCTTTTTTCCATTTATATTAATATAAATGTTCAGTCCTGACCCTGGTGCTGTTCAACATTTGTACTAATGATTTGGATGAGGAAGTGATGGAAATGTTTATCAGATTTGCAGATGACACAAAACTTAGAGGGAGAGCTAATATCCTGGAAGACAGAAATACAATTCGCAGCACTCTTGATAGGCTGGAGTACTAGAGTGAAAGCAACAGAATGAGATTTAATAGGAACAAATGCCAATTTCTGCACCTGGGCAAAATAAACCAACTGCATAGTTAGACGATGGGGGATTCTTGGGCCAGCAATATTATGAATCAGATGGATCTTGGGATTGTGGTAGATCTCCAACTGTATATGAGTCAACAATGTGATGTGACTGAAAAAGGGGAAATGCTATTTTGAGCTGCATTAATAGAAGTACCACTTCCAGATCACGTGTAGTACTAGTTCCCTTTTACCAGCACTGGTTAGGCCTCATCTGGAGTATTATGTCCAGTTCTGGGCACCATTGTTTAAGAAAAATGCAGCCAAGGTAGAAAAGGGTTCATTGGAGGAAGAAATGGGGATTAGAAACAAAGTCTTATGAGTATGTTCAGCCTCAAGAAGAGAAGATTGAAGGAAGATATGATAGAACTTTTCAAGGACTTGAAAGGTTGTCATGAAGAGGAAGAACAGGATCTCTTTTCAATCATCTCAGTGTGCAGGACATGGCATAAATTACAGGAATAAGTTAAAGGTTCAAATGACAGGAAACTAGATTCTGGATGAACATCTGGAAGATATTCCTGATTGTTAGAGCAATTTGACAGTGGGACCAATTACCTAGGGAGGTTGTGGGCACTCTAGCAGCATTCAAGATGTAGCTGAACAGTACAGCTGAGAGGAATGATTTAACTTACAGTCCTTCACGGAGCAGAGGGTTGGACCTTATGGCTCTCATAGATCCTTCCAACTCTACTGTTGTAATATTCTGTCTTGGGGCTTGCTAATCTTGGAATTTCAGCCAAGAATTCCAACCCTGTCTCTTCTTTCAGTTCAGATGCAGATTCTGAATGAACTATCTTGGAATGCTGAGAAATGGGCCCAGTCTCTGCATGAACAATAATCAAAGCTCACTCTGCTTGAATTCATTGGTCACTTCTGTGCCTCCTAGAGTTGCCCAGTAATCTACACACTATTTAAATGAGATCTAACCTTGGATGGCAAGTAGGTATAAAAATTAACAAGAAAGAAAGAAATCCATGAGAATTTTGAATCCTGTGGAAACAGCCCAAATAGAGGACTCGGGGGTAAACAGATTCCAGCATTCTGCTTCCCAAATGCAGCTTTGGATCAGAAGTTGGGCATTCAAGAATATTTTCTTTCCAAAACTGTCTTTAACTCAGCACAGCCAGCCAAGCATTCTGCCCCAGCTAAACCTCAATTCAGCGAGAAAAGCTTAATCATTTGATTTATATGTGTTTCAAAGATTTTACTCATTTCATTATTAATTTAAGTCACATCGTTTTGCTTTTCATACACTGGCAGTACTTTCTTTGTTGTATTATTTTATTATTTTGTATGCTGCCTGGGCTGTGGCTGGTAACAGAGCTTATTTCAATGACTGCTTCTTTGAGCTTCACCATTTCATTTCCCAGAATGTCCTTAATGTTGCATTGTTCTTAGCTATTCTGGGAGAAATGGTATAGTTGTCTCCAAATTAAAAAGGCAGCCTCCATTCTAAGAAAAGAAAATATAATGGCTGTCAGAAGGCAACTGCTGAAACCAGCTGCTCCTAGTAGAGCAGAAAAGAAAACTGTCAAATGAGTACTGAGCGGGTATTAATGAACTAATGAAAACCACCACATTGCATTTATTTTGTAATGAATAAAAATTGAATTGGATTGTCCCCTCTGGATTCAATTTGTCATTCATTAAGGAACAAGTGCACACCCTTATAGATCATCCCTTCACTAGCTTCCAGCATTATATATTTATTTTTATTTCAACATTTCTTGGCCAATGTTCAGGGCAAGAGACCTCCCCCCTGCCTCAAAAAAAAAAAAAAAAAAAAGGATGCTTACACAATGAAGTTCCATGTAGTCAAAGCAGGGGGGAAAGATAGAAAAAAACACCAGGTATAAAACATCTTGCCAAGATAGTAATAAAATATGAATCATAATTGCAACTAAAAATCCAGATGATTAACTTCCTCATGCCAGTAATCATGAAAATAATCTGGGTGGGCTGCCATGTGTGTGTGTGGAAGGCAGTCGCATGCACCTAAGTCTGGATCTGGTCCATCATGCTCTACTCTTTATTATTGTGCTATTAGTGCATGAAGCTTTAAATAGTGGCATAAGCAGAAAAATTCCTTTCTATAGGAGCTTCCAATACATATTTATATAGTGGTGGTGGTGGGAGAATAAAGTAATGAAAAGGAAGTGAAGGAAGAGTAAAGCAAATGGTAACAGTGTGAATTAAACTTTACAGGTAGCCTTAGACACTGTTGGAAGGACTCCAATGGGGCAGAGTGCCACACAAGCACAGCTACATGGTTCTGGTACAGAGGAGAGTTGGAAAGCACCAATGACCTGCACAACCTTATACCAATTTCTTTTAGTAGGTGGGAAGCCGGAACAGATGCGATCTTCCTCTAGCTGAAGTCGAAGTCTGTGATAAGTAACACAGTTGACTAGGATTTCACTATTTGCCATGCTCATTCCCTTTTTCATATTTTTCTTCAGAGACAATCCATGCACCACTGAAAAAGCTCATCAACAGTTTATGGAAATTTATCCCAGCATATTCATCAAAAAACCAACCATTTTGCCAGGCATTCCAGAACGAAGAACAAAAGGGTAATTCTCATTTTTTTTAAACACACACATTCTCTCTCTCGCTCTCTCGCTCTCTCGCTCTCGCTCTCTCTCTCGCTCTCTCTCTCTCTCTCTCTCTCTCACACACACACACACACACACACAGTCTGTATTTACTGTGAGAAGTCAAGAAAAGATAAGCAGACTATGATATGAGGTTGGTCATCACCACTACATGTCACAGAACAGCTGCAAAATACAAAGATTAGTAGCTAGTGCTAAATTCATTTTCTGCCTGAGCAGAAACATCTGTGCATTTTCTTCAAAATTCATTTGTCCTACCTTGCAGACAGCGACTGGTTGCATGTACTCAATTCCTAGTCAGATTTTGCAGCAACTCTAATGATGGCAAGTGTTTTCCCTCAAGATTGGGTTAGAATTTAATCCATAGATACTGGATGTCCCATAGCTATTTATGGTGTCTTTCCCAAATTAATTAATTATACATACCCTGCTTTTATATTCTGCTTCAGTGAAGCCACGGGTAGAGGAATGGTAAGCAGTGAGAAAGGCTGAAGGTAATCTGTTGTTTGGAAGGAGTAGATAATCACAGCTCTTTGCAAGTCAGACCTGGAAACTTTTATATATGGTTTGGAAAAGAGGTATTTCTTTCTGCTTCTTTCAGCCAAGGAGCTGCATTGCAGTGGTGTGTGGGCCAAAAATGCTGGTGTATTTCAGCTTAAAGATCTTCCTGCCACTAACTAAACCTGAGAGATGGACTCCAGTATTTCAGAATGGGGAAAAACTGCACAAAAGCTGGGAAACCACTGCATCAAAGGGGGTAGCATGGGACCTGAGGTTCTGTACTCATTGTTTAGAAAGTAATCTGCACTGGCCTATTCGCAGCTGTGCAAGGATGTTTCCTTTGCTGGGGCATCTGTTCACCTTGCATTGCTCTTAGTTGGACAGAGTTGCACAGCAGTGGAAATATGAGAAAATAAAACATGGAAGGAGGCACAGATGGGAAAAATAAATTTATGGGTTAGTGTAAGGGCTTGAACTTTGTCCCACATATCAGATTTCTGAACAACAAAGTTCAGGGAGTAGCTTTTGGGGACAGCTGGATGTCAGTGACTTGGAAAGGAGTCTGTTGTTACCATGTGTGACCCAAGTTATTTTTCTGCCTAAGGCAGATGGTGCTCCACCCCATTCCATGTACAGATGGTTGGAATGACATTTGAAACTGCCTTGTGATAGGATTGTGATAGGATTGTGTTGCCCAGCATATTGAAGACAGCAGGCTAGTTTAGGGAGAGCAGGACCAGCTTGTGTGGCTTTGCACAGTCGTCCAACAAAAGGGAACAGCTGGGAAGTTTAGGAGGAATGGCCAGAAAGCTGCTGCTGCCCCTCAACCATTGTTTGGTGCTTGAGGTAATCACTTCACTCTGCTTAATAGCAGGGCCAGCTCTGGTTGCTGTCCAGCTCCAAAATTTTCTTCTTCACCCTATTTCTGCCACTGAAAGCTGGAAGTGAATCCATGCAGAACCATTCACTGTTTATTGGTGAGCATGACAAAAATCATGCTCAGTATGTGAACAGTGCCCTTTCCTTCAATATTCTCAGTTGTTTAGTAGTTGGGGACTGGGGGTGGGCTACCCATCATGGGGACACTTTCTTCCCTAACTGTCCTTTGGTGCTGTCTATGGTGCATAGCCCAGTTTTTGAATGGCATCATTCAGATAATTAGTTCAAGGAATGCTATAACTCCAGTTGTGACACTTGTGGAGAAACTTGAGGTTGTTGCCAAGGTGCAAACAAACACTTGGATAGGTCATGCAGACTCTTCAGTATTAGATCCTTGCTTCTCTTGGTTTATAAGAACTGGTAAGCAGGGAACAGCCAGCCAGGACAGGGCAGTGATAGATGCCTCCTTGTGTGGAGGAGTGGGCTGAGGCCACCTGAAGGAGTCTGTAGTGAACCAACTTGCACTGGCTGCTTTTATAATTCTGGGCTGATCTGAAGAGCTGTTTTCCTCTATAAAGCCTTAGTGGCTCAGGACCACAATTCATGATGGAGTGTACCCAAGTATGAACCTACCTGAACACTGTGTGCATCATCTAAGGCCCTCCAAAGATGCCCCTCCAGATGTATCCTCCAAAGGAGACTTGGAAAGCTGCACCAAAGGTGAGGGCTTTCTCAATGGCACCCCTCCCCCCCCCATTGTAGTATGATCTCCCTGAAAAGGCCCGCTTGCTGCCAACACTGCTATATTTTTGGCATCAAGTTAAGACCTTCCCCTTTTCCCAGGCATTTGGCTACTATGATGAAGTTTTAATAAGGTCCTAGATTGTTCTGAATGTTGGTTGTTTGGGTGGATATATGTGTGTGATGCCTGTTTTTATGTTTGGACATAAATGATTTTTATAATACATATTTAAAATTTCAGTCTTTGTAAACTGCTTAGAGAGCTTTGGCTATTGGGCAGTATAGAAATGCAATGAAATGAATAGTTCTATGAAACTGACATTAGTTACACAAATGCACATAATGTTTGAATATTTCCAAGTGTCCCTGGAGGTTAAGTAAGAATGGGACTCTTATCATGTATGAAACATATGATGAGTTGGGACATTCCTTTCCTCCATTTTCTTCTTGTTCCCTTAATATATGTACATGTCCCTCTTCGCATTCACATTCTCCCCATATTCCCCATCAAGTTAACTCCCTTTTAACTGAAAAATACCCCAGATATCCTTTTCCTGTGCAACTTATTGTGATAGTTTATATCCATTCCCAATTTTATCGGAAAGTTGACTTCTTCATCATTCCAACATTGTAAAAAGCATATTTCAGAATTCAATGTCCAAACATACTATCTGGTGTTAGTCTGCAGCTGGGCATTCTGAACCTCATATTCTTCACTGAAAGGGGGCATTTAATAGCTGGGACTCAAAATTGCTTTCCCATGTGTAAGCTGTCCCCAGCATTGGTTGAAGAGCTGTGAGGTCACAGAATTTTCAGGACTGTTTCACGTAAAGTGTGGTGGGGAGAATAGTCATGAATTTGGAGAAGTCAGGAGAATAGAAGAAAGTTGATTGGGCTGGTAGGAGAGCATTCAAATCTGACCTGTGCAATATTAATAGGATGAGAAGTTGACAGACCAGATATTCAGAAGTAAAGGGGTAGGAAGCAAGATGTGGGAATTGTATTTCACACATTTATTTGGGTGAAATGTTCTAATTGTGGCAGCAGCCTGCTAGTTTCCATTTAATCTCTGAACTTCGATACTATAAGGATTGCTGACTACAATTCTTTTCCTGATTACTTGGCAATTGTCTGCCTCATCTGGCAAAACTGTTTCAAGACAGGGTGCTGATCTCAGGAAGTTATTGCTTTCTTCCCTGCAGGTTCGGAACCCAGCTATGATGGGGTTCGATTTTTTTTAAAGTGCACATGCTACATACATGTGCCAGCAGACCCAAATGTGTGAATTGCTTGTATGAGTGTCATGCTATTTCCTTCGCTATTTGTGTCAGAGTTTTACAGTCTGCTTCAGTCTTCTAAGTAAGATGAAATGGCTAGAAGGACAGCACATTGCCAGGAAAGAGGTCAGGTGCCACAGTGGAATACTTAAAGCTCAGATCTAACAGCGGTGGTGGTGTCACTCTTAAAGGGGTAGGTTTGATAGATGTGGCAATCCCATTGTACCTGTTTTTCACTGTGAGGTCCTTGAGAGAAATCAAGGAGGATTATACATTTGTCACCACTCACATCAGTCAATAATAGGAATGCCCTCAAAGAAGGTGATTACACAACAATATGACCTTTCTTTCCTGGGAATTATCATTTAAACTTTAAACTAGCTCAGTGTTTACAGAAACAGAACTTCTAGGTTATTGTAGACAGAAAGTCAATCTCTTTGCTTTCAGGAAGGCATTCAGCAAATTACTGCACTGCAAATCCCCCTTTCCACCCCAGTCTTCTTTTTAGCAGAAAAGTAAGTTTTACAGATCAGCAAATTGCCCAGTCCTTAGATGGGAGAAATATTTTAGCAGCTTAGGCTTTCTTCCTTGCTGATGCACCAAAATCCTCATTTTAATAGATCCTTTGAATTACTTTTAAGTACCACTATGCGCTCAGAGTAATTTTGCTTACAAGTGAACTGAGGATCAATGCAATCAGCTAATAAGATTATACACATTAACTGTAAAGCAATATGATGCAAAGGAACAAGGAGGATGCATACAAGATTGAATTTATTTACTGATTCAACACTGTAGTAATGTTGTGAGATACTTATTCATTTATTGCTAGAATTATACACTTCTATTATATGAGAATCATACACATGCAGATGCCTGGTGGAAAACTGTAGGACAGGATATAAATCTGTTTTGGTCTGAAGGGCCAAATCTGATTTTGCAGAGGAGATGAACACAGGTGCAGTCATGCATACAAACTCTCGCACACACGTGAGCATGTGCACACACATAGACATTAATTGGGGGTGGGGAAATCACATGTGTGCACACATGCACTGCATGGGAGACACATGCACACACAGCTCAGTCCAGGCTCTAGTTTTTGCCCTTCCTCAGCCACACCAATCAGATCAGTGCTTTATCGTTGCCTTCAGCAGCAGTAAAGCAGTGATTTGGGCAGGTTTGGAGCTGTAGGAGGACAGAAGAAGGCTGCCATCCCTCCACTCTGCCCAAGTACTTCTGCACTCACTGATCAGCTCTGATCTCTGGTGAGTGCTATAAAGGGAAGTCCCTTGCTTGTCTCTGACAAGAAACTGAAGATACATTAGGAAACACTATTGTAGAGGCAGATGGAGGGTGGCCTGGCTAACTACCACATGCAGCCTGTAGGACTCACTTTTTGCTCCCCTGGTGTAGATTATTTATCTAAAAGAGTTGGCTTAATAAAACAAAACCACCACCAGCAGCAGCCCTCAAAAGGACCTTGTGGAGGTAAATGGGTATGCTTCTCAATGCCAGTTGCTGGGGAACACAAGTGGGGATGGGGAGCTGTCACATGCTTCCAATGTGTATCTGATTCCACTGTTGGCACGGAGTGCCGAACCAGGCAGGGTTCAACATGCCCCGAGATGCTGCAGTTCAGACAGGAGCCAAGCTGAGCAGCATTGTTTGTGACAGTACAGAAATGGGAGAAGGAGGGAGAGAACACAGATTACCCATAAAACATTGGCCAGTATTAGGATGGAGAACCTCTTTATTTCCATTTTGGCAGCCCAAATAAGTTCTCTGATATCTGTAAAGCTCTCCACCTTCTTGCAACACCACATTTCTTGACATCCTAACTTGGCTTCTCCTTTATATCACCTTTAGCCTGTCAGAATCTCCTGCCTTTTTAACTGGCTTGCTCCTCTTTTCAGTTTGAATTTTCCTCCAGTGCTTCTGTATGGCGCCACTTCTCTTTCTTCCTGCAAAACTCTCCACCGGAACCACCTTTCCCATGATTTCCCTCACCCCTAAACTAAACCAAACATAAATATGCAGAACTGCATTGACTCACACACATCCCTTGCTTCTTCCTTTTCTCCCCACTTTTTATTGCCTTTCTTGCTGCCAACATTTAGAATGGAAGGCTTTTTTTTTTTTTGGCAAGGCAAGGGTTTGGTGGATCCATGAAAGCTTCTTGAAGAAGGGAGCTGTAGGTAAGAATTTACACTCCTTTGTACTTATACAGGGGCAGTTTTGGAAATACCATGTCTGTTTCCCACTGTGCACTTCAGACACATTTGTTGGGGACAAGCTGCATCATCTTTTGAAAAGACAATCACCGTGAGCTTGTTCAAGAACAGCCACCATCTGGGAGCAGCCAGGAATTACCACTGGGAGAGTTAAAGGCTGTCAGCATTGAAAAGCAGACAGAAAGCACTTATGATGGGAGACAAAATAGTAGTGGATGACAGGGCTAACCTAAGTCATTTTGCTGCCTGAGGTGAAGGACAAGATGGTACCTTCTTTATCTCACCTTCGGAAGTCAACCAAACTGGCAGCTGAATTGAATTTTGACATTGGCAATAGGAAAAGTTCCTGAGCGTTATCTCGGCATCTGGCTAGCTCAGGTCATCCAGCATGGATCACGAAGCTCTGTCCTGCAACAGAATGAAAAGGCTGGGGCTGGTACCACTGCCTTATTCACACTACCCAGTTTTTGCTGCCTGAGGCAATAGCCTCATTCTGCCTCATAGCAGAGACAGCCAAACTCTTCTTGGAGCCTCATGTCTGTTCTCTGTTGCTGGCTTTCTCTTCCTTTTCACCCCAGAACATTTGGAAGAACCAGGCTCTACCTTCTCATTTCATAATAGTCAGTTGGGGGTAGAAAGATCTACAGGGTCACTGAGCATTTTCTTTTTAGTTGCTCCTTGCCCTGGAGACCAGGGAGAGTCTTAAGCAATAGGGATTGCTTCCTCCAACTTCTGTCTCCTATCCTGCTTTATTGAATAAACTAAAAATACTGGGCCATAGCTTCCTTAACAACAGTTCAGTCAATGAATTAATCAACACTATAGTGACAGCAAAACTCCTGTATACGCCTCAGTAGACTCCTAAGAAACAGCTCAAATTATTTTTCCTTATAGCTGGTATGTAAGACATCTATATATCAGTATGTAAATGTCTGTCCTGGACCAAATGAAGAATTGAGTATTGCAGTCAATGCCAGATTCAGAATGTCTCTCAGGCAAGGCATCCTTAATGGGCCCCTTTCCTCAGGCAGCCAGCCAGCCTCTTCACTATTGCTGTCACTATATTGTTCTGCATCAACTTTCACGTGATTGGTACTACGAACCTGCTGTTCCTTTTTCTCTACCACCATTGTATGAGCTGGAGCAAAAGGCAGGTGAACATGCAGGTTGCAAAGTTGGAGAGGAAGAGCAAGTCCAAGATTGTGAGCCCTTGGCAAGTGCCCCACCATACCTGTCCCAGACACTGGTCCTAATCATAGTGGACTGCTCAGTAGTAAATTAATGTAGATGAGCTACAGATAGAAATATATGGAGCTGTCTTACACCGAGACACACCATTGATCCACATAGCCAACTCCTGTCTACTGTAAATAGCAGAAGCACTCTAAGCTTTTAAGCCTAAATAATTTTCTTCCCTTTGGAAAATATGCACACAAATTATTTATTTAATGTACATACCACCCAACCTTCATTCCTTAGCAGCTCCAGTTTAAAAAAATTGAAGTAGCAGGGCTGAAAATTATATCTACTTGAAGTGCAAGAAGCACGCACTGTCCATTTTGGTGCATTCCCCTAAGTCCTTCCAGCATGGAGAAGATGGAATGTGTGAAAATGCAAGCAGTGTCAACATTCTTTTGAAGGAAACATGACGTTGGCTTCAGGTGTTGCTTAAGTTGAAATCTAAGGATAAACTAAGGATGGGCAGAACTGTGCTTTCCTGACTGAAGCTCTTTGAGACCTCCTCAAATCTTTTGCCTGAGAGTGATCTCCCAATTTTGCTTTAAGTTAGAAGTGACATTTCTGTGGCAACCCTCCATTCCCCAGAAGTGCCAGGGATAAACATGTGAGCTTATTGCCTATTAAATTGTACCATATTTCCTAGAAATTGTAGAATTAGTTCACTCCAATAGTAGCCAATTAATCTTTTTCTCCTAGGGTACATTCTTGTGCTTTCAGCAATGATACTTCAGTTGATCAAGATTCCCATAACATACGTTTCTACTTGAATCAGATGAAAAGTTCCCAGAAGTTGCGGCCAAACTCTCCAGAATTCATAGAGAAGCTGCAAGGCCTAATCAAGATACTCAAAAAGATGTAAGTATTAACTTCTTTCTCAGCCTTCCTTCCTTTACTGTGCAAACACAGGAAACCATTTTCTTTCAAAATGCATAATGAGCTGTTATGGGAAGTTAGCAGTGGAATGTACAGAGGCATATCGTTATGGACACATGCAAATAGCATTGCTTTTTGAACTAATGGTCATACCATATCCTAGATACTTTGCTTTTTCCAAAGTACTTTGCAGTTTGGGGCAAGGATTTTATGCTAATGTGAAGCAGTAAAAAAGCAGTAAATCCACAGTCATTAAATAGCAAAGGAACTGAACAGCAAAAGCAGATTGTCAGTCCTTACTACAGTATATATGGAAAGTGGCTTGAGTTGAAGGGAGGAAAAAGGCTAAGATGGAGAGCTGGGAAAAGCAACAGGGCTTTACACAGGTATCACTTTTGCCATGGGTTTGCACTTGTTTTATGACTGAAAACTATAATCAACTGTTAATAATAATAATAATAATAAGAAGAAGAAGTATAGATGTGCAGCTCTCCGTTTGGATCAGGATCTTCATGTTGAGGTAGAGGGGGTTAAATCTACTCACCAGCTGCTCCCTTCCCCCAAAATTCACCCATCATTTCGAAGGGACTGCAAAGCCAAGCCCAAAAATTGCCTCACAGGAATAAACCATAAACTAGTTGAGTTCTTCTTCTTTTAGTCCCTGTGGGAAGGGATGGGAGATAATTTTCATAAAGCACTGGCCTGATAGTGATGTTTAAATCTCCCATAGACATGGTGGGGGTCCTGATCTGTATCATCCCTCTTTGTGTTTACAGTAGGATGAACAAAATGTAGAAGATCAGCTATATGCTACGCATCTCCTGTTGTGTTTACTTTAGCCCTTTAGTACCTCCCTTCAGGCTCTGAGGAGAATGTGGCAGCAGAAAGTTCATTTTGGATCACTCCTGTTTTTAATAGCTTAATAGCCCTAGAGGGTGGAGGAAATTGATCACCTCTGCAGTGCTGGGTGGGGAGCGGGGAATGGGCATCTGTTCTTTTCTCTTATATACTCTTCTCAGGCAAAATGTCCATGCTCCATGCTATTTGACTTGCAGGAGGAAACAGCTACTGGTATGGGGTAAATAGCAGCTCTGGAAGACAATTATCAGGAAAATGGCACGGCGGAAAATGTTAACCCACTGCCCCAGCATTATGGCCCTTATCAGAACCCTCTCCACCTCCACAGCTGCTATTAAAATGTCAAGAAAGAGCAGGAGGCTTAATCAGAGATCTTGGGCTTTTGCATCTAGCTTTGTTCTAACAGACACATTTTAATCTGCAAACTCTTTGATGGGATGGCATAGCTGCCAAGAGCAAATATCGGTGTGCTCTTGTTTTCTGGTTTTGTGGCATTAATTGCACATTTTAATTAATTGGTGGCACTAATTGCATATTTTAATTGAATGGCTTTCATGGTTCTAATTGCATGTTTTAGCTGACTGGTTTGGATGGGTTGTTTGTATTTTATTTTTTTCATAAGCCACCTTATGGGTATTTCTGCTCAGTGTAGGGAAGAAATTAAGCAAGAACATTGATATGATCGTGATTACACAGTGATCATGGATCTACAAGTATATCCCCCTTCCATGCTGACTAGGGAATAAAGGAATAACTTTGTGCCTAAGCATTTGATACCTGAATTGTAAGTGCCTCATTTCCTACGATTGCTCTGATCCATTCATCTCTTTCCAGTGATTATTCTCATGTCCATATTGTGTCATATTTAGTCCTGTATACCTGTAATTATCACATTATTCTCTCTTTTGCTCTCCCCTACATCTCCTGCCTTAAATGACTTCAGAGTGATCCTTATTATCATGCTTGCTAGTCATGTTGTGCTGTGTAATTTCCAAATGTTAATTAACCTGCCCTCCAGTAATGTCAGCTTCTGTTGCTGCCTCCACTGCCACAGCCAGCTTGTCTGCCTGCCTGCCTGCCTGCCTTGGTGCCAGCGGAGCGGGGAAGAGGTGGGGGGCGGGTGCAGCATCAGTCTGTCAGTGCTTGGGCACATATGTTGCCTCCATGCTGTGAATCAGCTTTAGATGCCAGGATGAGGTGTTTACAGTGATTCGGTCTGAGCCTGAGAGCAAGGTTTGGGGAGCTTGCGGAATGGTGGCTGCAGACAGAGGCATAAAGCAAGTCATATGCAGACTCTGTTTAATTTCAAGATTGTGCTACAGCTTTCATAGCGAAGTCAATTTGGGATTGCTGCAATGCTGTCTAGTAGGAAAAAATGTTAGTGATGAGGTACCCATCTGATGATGTCTACTGGAAAAAAATGTCACCATCTTTATTGATTAAAATTCACAGTCTGCCAGCAACAGCTATTTGGGACTTGTTAACAGTTGCTTGATCATCTTGTTCCCCCTTTACATTATGAAAATAGAAGAAGAACACCAACTAACCAAAGGTGTGATGAGATCATAACAAAGAACTTCCAGAAATGGTATTGCTTCTCTCATGTTTGCCCTTCTTCCCCTCCTTCCAAAGACTTTCTCACTAAAGGCTAACAGAGGCTTTCTAACTTTATTATATTAAAACCAACCAATGAGGCTGACTTTGTAGTACAAAGGAAGTGAGTTGTGGAAATTGGTAACAAAGGAAACAAGCAATGTTAGAATACCAGCCACTAGGGCAATGTGGCTTAAAGATAAAGAGTTGGTTCCAAACTGAACAGAAAACCTGACACCTTCATGGTGTCTCCTGTTTAAGGGCCAGTTACCTAGAACATTTGAGGCTTCTCAACTTCTTATCCTGATACTATATCCCTGGATTAATGATGTTAAGTTCTCCATGCTCACTAACCCTTCCCGCAGAACTTGAAATTGTCCTATTCTCAGTGATTACCTGGCTTATCTCTGGGTCCAATGGCGTTGCATTTCAGCTATGAATTCTGCCCTCTCCTCTTCATCGGAACCAAAATCTGTATCTACAATCTATGAGGAATGGGCCCATCTCCTATTTTTGGCAAGAATAGTATAACAAGGAGTGAATGGCCAGTGTAGCAAGGCCCGAGGGCAAGCTCTCAAGGCACTGGATGGAGCCACCCCTGTTGAAACGAATCAGTTCTGGTGGAAGAGACCAGCTAGGAACCGTACATACCCTGTTTAAAGTTCTACAGAAGTTCCACTGAATCTGAAAGATTAAAAACACCCACAGCAGATTCAAATAAAATATTTTGTAAATAGAATCTTATCAAAACCAAACTATGGAAATTCTTACCCATCCCTAACTTCAGTGAGATTTTCTCCCAGCTGTGTATTAGAAAGGGGTTTCCCCCCTTAGAAGATTAGTTCACAGTCTTGTTAATGTTGACAGCTTGCATAAACCTAGTTCGTACATTACCACTGTGAGCAGGGGAGGAAAGACTTCTACCTGCTTGGGTGCATGATGCTACATTAGTAGCATATACATTAATGTATATGTTAGTATATTCATTAGTAACAAATAACAACTGAAGGCACAACAGTATGCTTTTTTAGATGGGAAAATGTTCTGCAATTTCCAGTATTCCCCAGCCAGTTTTAAACATGCATAGGATCCTAAAGGTTAAGTGCATCTGGTTTGCAGGATTACTTGTGATAGGCATTCCTATTAAAGTGTGAAATATTGACTGCACAGAAATGGTGTTTCAGCAGCAGCCATGGAACAACTTGGGAACAGTCTCCCTAAGGAAGTTCAACTGGTGCTGATAAGTCAGTTTTGTAGACATCAGTTCAAGACTTTTGTACTTTCTCTGGCATTTTAAATTGATTGTATAGATTCTGTTTTTTGGGGAGAATTATGGTCTTGTCTTTCACATGATTGCTGATTGACTCTTGCTGTGTTATGTTGTTCTTATTTTTATTATTATATGCCATTGTAGAACTTGCTAGGGTGACGGGTGAGTTAGAACATTTTGAAACAAACATCCAGCACTGACCTATGATTGGATGCAAATGGTCAAGTGGGCTAAAGAAGTAATGGTCCTAAAAAATGTGCTAGTTAAAGTATATATATTATATCCAGACACAAATAATTTGTGTCCGGATGGTCTTGAGTTGGACCCTGATAATAGTCATATTTAGAGTAGTCCCATTTATATCAATAGAACTGAGATTCATCCTGATTAAAACAAATCATATTTTAGTGACTAAATCTGGGTTTAAATCCTTTTATTTTTCAAATAAATAATCAAAGGAAATGTTCTTGTTTTCATTTGTTTTTAATTTGAGCTTTTCAGAGAAGATATAATAGCTAAATGTTCAACTGTAGGCTCCTCATGTTTTAAAAAATGCATCTATATGGAGGTTTGGTTTCATGCAAATTGTGTGAAACAATTAAAAAGACTATTTTGAACTTTCCTTTTCTGTACAGAGATGAACTTATAACTATCTGTGAAAAAAAAATCAGTTTAAGCTTTCAGCACATGATGTGCTACAAATTCCCCTGCCTCATCCGTCTGCCAGAGCATTTTAGCCCCTCAGAGGGTGATGCCTGGAACACGACTTTTTTCCTGATCCCACCAATTAACAGCTTTTCCTGTGAGAATATGGTGGAACTGATGATCATTATGCATCTGTGGAGTGAAGATGCAAAGCTTTTTCCCTAAAATGTCTTCAAGGTGTAGCTCCTAAGAATGCTATATTTAAATATGGACCCAAAGTTCAGTTTGAGTTAAATGAGCAAAGAGTTGCAAAGTGCTGAGGAATCTCTTTTCTACTGGGGCTTGGAGACTAGCTGGATTCACACATCCAGTGTGGTTTTCATGGTATACAGTTCTTGCCTAGATGTACCTAGCAGACAATTAATCTAGTGTGGCTTCCAGCCTCCTCATTCAGACCTTCCACTGTTCACACTTATCCAGTCAGCCACCACACCTGAAATTCGATCCCATGCTGGAGGGCTGGAGCAGCTCCTGGAGAGCTCCAGCTCTTTCCAAGGGACTCTTTGGTAGCACTTTGAAAAACATGGTGCTGGGTTCAGATGATGAGAAAAATCAC